AGAGAGAGAGAGAGAGAGAGAGAGAGAGAGAGAGAGAGAGAGAGAGAGATATCGAGATCTAGGTGCATATGAATGTGTGTGTGGAGACCAGAAGTCATCCTCAGACACAATTCCTCAGGATGTTTTCCGACCCATCTCCCGACCCTGGCCCTCAGTCCCTTGTCGCGGTGACTCTTGCCTTGCTCAGAAAGGTTTTGTTCCAGCATAATCTTGCACCAAGAATCTCTCAGTGTTGCCATCATAGCAATGACATATTTTTATTTCCAGCAAGAAAAATTATAATTTAAAAATAAGGCATCCACATTTCAATTCCTGTCTCTAGAAACTTTAATTCTAAAAATGGCTTGAATGTAAATGAATTCAGAGGACCTCAGTGGCTTTGGAGGGAAAGAGGGCTAATGGACACAACGGTGATGTTTAGTCTAGAATCAAGTATGTGTTGAGAGCTTTGATCCGAAGATTCTTCATTTCCTCCAGCACCTTTTCTCCCACCTTCTCTGGAGGCTGGGCATCTCTGACATCCCTGAATATCAGAAACACAACAAAGGTACACTAAGCCACTTATTAAAACATACAAGTCAAGCAGGCCAGATGGCTCCTTAGTAAAGGCAATGACCCTAAGGCTGATGACCTGAGATTCATCCCTGAGACCCACAGAGTAGAAGGAGAGAGGTAAGTGTTCTCTGGCCTCCACTGTGTACTTACCATGGCCCATACAGGCCCATACATATATTCATATATACATATATATTCACATGAGAACATACAAATTCAATCAATAAATGTTATTTAAAAGAGTTTAGAAGTGGGGTAAAGGCACTTGCTGCCCTGCCTTGAGACATGAGTTTGATTCCCTGGGTCCATATCATGGAAGGAGAGAATACACACACATACCAAGTAAACAAACTTCCAAAAACCATGAGAATTATCCTGATGTCCCATGAAGATTGGAAGTTCTGCTTTAATACAGAAAGAAGGTTTTGATTATATTTGATAGTAATTTAATAACCAGTGAAAACCTTCAGCCCCCAAGTGACTCTAACTACATAGTTTCTTACGGTCTCCACCTCCCATTCTGCTCATCCCTGTCACTCTGTGAAGCCACTGTGAAGGTGAAATGAGAAACCAGTCACACAGATGTTACAAGATCTCAATGCTCGGACAGCAATAGCTGGATTTGCATCTTTGGATATGTGAGTGCAGATATGTGTGCGTGTGTGTGTGTGTGTGTGTGTGTGTGTGTGTGTAGGCCAGAGGCTCACATGGGTGTTGTGGAATATCATTTTAACTGTGTAAAAGTGTGTAACATTTTTTTTCTGCTGCTTTTGTTAACGATGCAGAGGCATGTTTCATTTATTTGATTAAATAAAAGTAACCTGGGTCAGGAGGCTGAGTCAGCAAGTAGCTGACAGGAAGTGGTAGGGAGGAACTAAGTGTAGCTGGGGTTTTTATGTGGGGGCTGAGCAGAAGGATGCCCCTTTTTTGGGGAGACGCAAGCCAGGAGAGGTGAGCTGCTGTTCAGCTACGCTGACTAACAGGATTTCATCTTAACCTTTGAATCCTGAGTTCTATAGAAGGATAGAGATTTAGATAAAGTTTCCTACAGTGGCAGTGAGAGAGCCGGTAGCTGAGGGAACAATTTCCACCTGGCTGCGGCCTGTGCAGCTGTGGTAGCAGCAGGGTGGCAATTGCTGGTTGGGACAGCCGTTGCTTACGGTGCAGCCATTGTACTGAATGTAAAACAAGACATTGGGTATCTTCCTTGGGGCCCTTTGCTTTATTTTGAGACGGGGCCTCTTCACTGAATCCGGAGCTCACTAATTCAGTTAAGTTGGCCAACCAGCCCCAGCAATCTTCCTGTCTCCGCCTTCCCTGAGCTGAGATCACAGGCACACACTATCATATCCTTTTTTTTTTTTTCCTTTGTAGACAGGGTCTTTCTATGTAGCCCTGGCTGTTCTGATATTCACTGTGTAGATCACAGTGGCCTTGAACTCACAGAGATCCTCTACCTCTCAAGTGCTGGGATTAAAGTCATGTTCCACTATGTCCAATTTGCCTCTTTAAAGAGCAAAACAAAACAAACCATAGGTTTTAGGGTATCGAATTCAAGTTCTCATGCTTGCTGAGTGTGCATGATCCTCCTCATGTCTGGATTCAAGTTTTAAAAACATTTTATTGTTATTTTAAAGAATTATGTGTATATGTATGTGTGTGGGTTTGTGCACATGCATGTGGTGCCCAAAGGGCCGGAAGAGGCAACTGGCTCTCCGGGGGCTGGAGTTACAGGTAGGTTTGCGCTGATGTGAATGCTGGGATTGAGCTCAGGTCCTCTGGATGAGCAGTATGCGTTCTTAATCACTTCATCATCTCTCCAGCCCCGTGGATTCAATTTTTAAAGGCTTCTTGCTAAAGCATTTGAAGGAGATGATAGTGTATAAATGCTGACACATTTAAATATTTGAAACATTGGAGATATGCCCCTTTCGATGCTTGCGATCCTGAGACTCAGACATTATGACAGCTCTGACCTTCACCTGAGATGCCAGGTAAAAACACCCACTTACTTCTCCTTCTTGGCTTCTTGGTTGAGCATGGGAAACTCCACTCGGATCATTTCTGGAGTCAGCATGATTTCTATGCTCTGCTCACAGAGGTCTCTGGAAAGGAATAAGACGTTGAGTGGGAACAGTTCCTCTTTCTCAGCATAAACACAGGATGGAGGGCAGAGCATTTGGGAGCCTTGATGTGCGGGCGCTTTCCAGTGTTAGTTGCAGCTACTTCCGCTGAGTTCATGTGCAGGGAAGTAGAGGACAGACAGACACACTGCCTCCGCCAGCC